GGACTGGAGAGATGGCTCAGTGGTTAAGAGCACTGGCTGCTCTTGTAGAGGACCTGGGTTCAGTTCCCAGCACCCACATGATGGCTCACAACAACTTGTAATTCTAGTTCCAGGGGATCCTATGCCCTCTTCTGGCCTCCATGGGCATTGCACACATGTGATGCACATCTATACATGCAGGCAAACACTCATACACATGAAATAAAAATAAGTAAATCCAGGCTGGGCATGGTGGTGCACACCTTTAATCCCAGCACTCTGGAGGCAGAGGCAGGCAGATCTCTGTGAGTTCAAGGCCAGCCTGGTCTACATAGTGAGTTCCAGGACATCTGGGGGCTACAGGGAGACCCTGTCTCAAAAAAAAAAAAATAAATCCAAAAAAATTAACAATAAACTAAAATACAGTGAATGATGGGCTGGTGAGATGGCTCAGCAGATAAAGTACTTGCACTTGTAGGGCAAGCCTGGCTGACCTGAGTTCAATCCCCAGAGCGCAGGCAGAGGTGAAAAGAGAGAACCACAAAGTTGTCCTCTGACTTCCACGGGCACACCATAACACAACCATCCCAACACAATAAATAATTAATAATAATATAATAATGATGATGATGATGATGAATTAAATGCTGACTCAGCTAAAATGGTGTGAACGTGCTACAAACCTCTTCAACGCTGTCATGGGTAAAATGAGCTCTCAACACCTCCTTTCCAGGGCATTATGGAAAGTCATTTGAAATAATGGTAGAAAAAGCTTTGAGATTTTCCTGGGTGGAGGATTTGAAATGTGGCTTGGTGGTTAAGATCTTGGGCTGGAAGTTGGTTGGGTGGTCTTTGGGTGGTGGACACAGGCGAGATTGGTGTGCATCATTTGGCCCTGCTGGCCCCTCCTCCTTCCTTCCGCCTCATCCTCCATGATCTCAGCAGGGACAGGACCAGGAAACTGCTGCAGCCTCACCTCTTCCCCTTCCTTCCTCCTGTTCCAGGTGCAACCCTGCCTCCCCAAGGTGGGGGAGGGACGCCCTCATCCCTAGCTCCGGCTACTCTGACATCCACTAGAATGACCCCTTGGGACACTTAGGAAGGGAGGCTCCATCCTGCTCATAGGCACGTTCCGGTACTCTCCTGCTTAGACAGATAGTTCTTCAGAGAGCATCTCAGGCTCCGTGGGCTCCTGGAGCCGGGCAAGCCTAGCCTGTGAGCTCATGTGGGAGCTGCTCTCTGGATTCATGCGAACTCCTGGGAGTCCAACAGTCCCTGGAGGTGGGGATGGGGGTGGAATGACACCGAGTCCTAGGTCACTAAAATAGACAGAGCTTGATGCAGGAGATGGGAGGCAGAGTGTCTCTGTTGCCTGGATGGGATCCAGATGCCAGAGGCACCTCCCCAGCCAGAGGCCTCTGCCATAGAGGGAAAAGGCTTGGGCAGAGCCCTAAATTTGAAACGCTTAAGACTTCTCAACTCTTTTTCCAATGTCTTAACCCTACCCGAGGGGACTGTCCCAGTAGTTAAGAGCAGAAGTCCAGGAGGATGAGTCAAACCCTGGTTCTGACCTCTGCTAGTTGTGTCAAACTAGCAAGCACACCTTTCTTTCTTAATCAGCGAAATGGGACTGTCAGAGGAGCACAGAGCAGTTCTGTGTGGAGGGCAGGGCAAGGGGCAGTCAAACCTGAAGAAAAGTACCAGATACCCCCAGATGCGGTGGAATAGATGTGAGAACCCCAGCACTTGAGGGGTGGAGACAGGAGGATCACAGGTTTGAGGCCAGCCTGAGCTATAGGACTAACCTAAACGCTCATCAGAATGTCATCTGCCCCAGGGGCGAGCATCTCCCCACTGGACCACTCTCTGCGCTGGCCCCTCCTAGAGTCAGCTGGGTCACTCACCTTCGGGGCCCCAGCGCAGAGCACCTTCGGCCCACTGCAGTCATGGTCCCTCGCAGTCCCCGCCTGCAGCCCAGGACCCGGCTCAGTCCGGCGTTCACACCCGGCTCAGGCCAGGGAGCTAGGGAGCGCCAAGAAGGACTCTGGGGGCGGGGCCTGATCATAAGACCACGCCCCTGACCGCCCTCCGCCCATGGCTCCGCCCTCTCCACTGCTTACTTCCCTGGAGAGGAACGACACACCCTCCTCGCACTCGCTCCGCCCCCTCCATGTTAGTCATTGTCCAGGAGGGAGAAGGACACGCCCCCAGCCGCACACACCCCTCCTCCTCGCTCAGCGGGGTTCCAGTTCCCGCTTCTGCAAGAGCTCACCCCAAAGCCTGGGAAAGGCCACGTCCCTCCACGCTGTGATCCAATTAGCGTCCATGACTGGGCGGAGCCAAACTCCCTGCCGCCTCTCCCACCAGGGAAGGCTCAAAGCACCTCCAGTCCCTCCTCATCAATAGGGCTCCAGAATGAAGCCGAATTCAATAGAGAGTGGGGGAGAAGGCAGCCCGGGGCAGCCAGGGATGGTGGGAAAACCTTAGTTTTTATTAATCATAAAAATAGCATTTCCAGCCGGACGTGGTGGCGCACGCCTTTAATCCGGCAGAGGCAGGCGGATCTCTGTGAGTTCAAGGCCAGCCTGGTCTACATAGTGAGTTCCAGGACAGCTGGGACTATTGGGAGACCCTGTCTCAAAAAGACCAAAAAGAAAAAAAAAAAAGCATTTCCAAGCTGGGCCTGGAGGTCCATGCTTTTAATCCCAGCACTCAGGAGGCAGAGGCAGGCAGATTTCTGTGAGATGGAGGCCAGCCTGGTCTACATAGTTCCAGGCCAGCTGGGGCTACATGAGACTTTGTCACAAAATAAAAGAAAACAAAACAAACAAAAAGACCAGACAACAAAAATAGCATTTCCATTAATGAATATTTGCCATATGTGGGGTTCTGCCATATGTTAGGATTTTTTGGTATGTTATTATTAGTTCCTTAGTTTTCTTTTCGGTCTTTTTGAAACAGGGTCTCCTTGTAGCCCCAGCTGTCCTGGAACTCACTATGTAGACCAGGATGGCCTTGAGCTCACACAGATCTGCCTGCCTCTGCCTCCCAAGTGCTGGGATTAAAGGTGTGTGCCACCACGCCTGGTTTGGTATGTTATTTTTAAATCCTCACCACAGTCCTACAAGATAGATATTACCACCACACCCATTTATCAGGCCAGTGACAAAGGCTGGTAAAGTGAACTGACTTGTCTAAAGTAAGCAATGCAGTCAGCAAGTCAGAGTCCAGGGGATGGACAGATAGATGTCCAATGGTTGGGAGAGCTGACTGCTCTCACAGAGCACCTGGATTCCGTTCCCAGCACCCACATATGGCTTTCAATTGCTTGTATCTCCATTCAGAGGAATTGATGCCTTCTGGCCTCTGAGGGCACCTGAACACGCATGGTGCACATAAACCCATGCAAGCATAAACATATACATAAATAAAAACAAGTAAATCTTTTTTAAAAAGTCAGAGTCCAAAGCCGGATGTGGCGGCACACACGTTTAGTCCTAGCACTCGGGAGACAGAGACTGTGAGTTCAAGCCCAGCCTGGTCTACTTAGTGAGTTCCAGGCCAGCCGCAGCTACAGGGAGACCCTGTCTCAAAAAGATAAAAAAAAAAAGAGTCTATCACAATGCTGGGCAATAGAATCTTTTAGAGTGTTCCATGAGCTTTCTCCAATATCACTATTTGTTTTTTTAAATATTTTATTTATTATATTAATTTTATGTGTATGAGTGTATTGCCTGCATGTATGTGAGTGCACCCGTGTCATGCAATGCTGCAGAGGTCAGAAGAGGGCTTTGGATTCCCCTGGAACTGGAGTTAAGGATGGTTCCTAGCCGCCATGTGGGTGCTGAGAATCGAACCCGGGTCCTCTGCAAGAGCAGTCAGTGCTCTTAACTGCTGAGGCATCTCTCCATCCCCTTGTTTTAAATTTTTTATTTATTGTGTGCGTGTGTATATATGTATGGGTGGGCATGAGCCACAGCATCCATGTGGAAGCCAGAGGACAACTTCTGGGAACCAGTTCTCTCCTAATGTGAGTGCCAGGGATCAAATTCAGGTTGCCCATCTTGGTGGCAAGAGCCTTCACCCACTGAGCTATCTTGTCAGCCCACTATTTGTATTTTTGTTGTTGTCTTTTTGAGACAGGGTCTCCCTGTAGCCCCAGCTATCCTGGAGCTCACTATGTAGACCAGGCTGGCCTTGAACTCACAGAGATCCGCCTGCCTCTGCCTCCCAAGTGCTGGGATTAAAGGCGAGTGCCACCATGCCAGGCACTACTTGTATTTTTAAACTCAACTCACTCTATAAACAGGTTACACTGACAAGTGGCTTTCTAGACCAGAAATGTTGGCCAGCAGAACTAAAGGTGAAGGAGTCCAGTGCTTAGGCACAGGGTCTACCTGGCAGCTTAGCCCATGCTGGAATCTTCCCAGGGCTTGAGTTAGGTGGGCCTGACAGCTCAAATGCAGCTTTGCCACTTGCAGGGTGCTTAGCCATGCAGGGGCAAATGATTGCCCTCCCTGAATCAATCTCTCTCTCTCTCTCTCTCTCTCTCTCTCTCTCTCTCTCCCCCCCCTCTGTCTTTTAACAGGATCTCATTGTATCCCAGGATGGTCTCCAATTCTTTATGTAGCAGTGGATGACCCTGAACTCTGATTCTCCTGCCTCCACCTTCCAAGTGCTGTGATTCCAGGATTGTGTCATCACACCCAGTTTATGTGGTGCTGGAGATTGAACCCAGGGCTACCTGAATGCTAGGCACATACTCTACCAACCTATCCATAGGCCCAGGTCACTCTTTCTTTTCGTTTCGTTTTCTGTTTCATTTTGAGACAAGGCCTCATTTTGTAGCCGAAGCTGACCTCAAACTTACAGCCATCCTCCAACCTCAGCCTCCCAAGTGCTTGGAGTACAGGCATGTACCACTTCGTACTCCCTAGCCTTTTTTTTTGGATGTTTGACTGTACTTAGGCCAGAGGCCCATCCTTGCAGCTCCTGCCCTCCCTGGCCCTGCCAGCACCTACCTCTCTGGGTGCACGTCCCTGGGGATTTGCTTCTCCTTTATGTCAGCTGTGAAGTTTTCAGGCTTCCTCGTGGGTTCTCCTTCCACTGCTGAAGGTGTGGATTCCACTGGTGGAGTGTCCTCCAGTGGGGCATCAGTCCCCACGACTTCTTCCAAGCCTGGTGGGTCAGGCAGACCTCGAGATACCGAGTGGGACTCGAGGCTCACCTCCTGGGCTTTCTGGGCAGCCTGTTTGTTCCGAGCCTTCTTGATGTTAGGGCGAGGCATGGTGCCCATATGACTGTACATGTCACTGGAACGAGCATAGGCGGGAGGGCTCTTGGGAACTGTCATCATGTCATCCTGTGTGGCTTCGAAGGTGTCAGGCTCCAGTTGAGACCGGATACTGATAGGGGTGGAAGACCGTCTCAGAGTGAAAGACCGAGGGAGGTTGGAAAGGCTCCCAAAGCCCTTGAACTTGAAGAACTCTGGCAAGAGAGGAGGAGAGAAAAAAGAACTAAAGACAATGTCAGCAGAAATGTAGTACAGTAAAAATCACCTGCCTTGTTCAAGGCCAGCCTGGTCTACACATTGAGTTCCAGGCCAGTTAGGGCTACAGGGAGACCCTGTCTCAAAAATACCAAAAAGGGGCTGGAGAGATGGCTCAGTGGTTAAGAACACTGTTGTTCTTGCAGAAGACCCAGGTTCGAATCCCAGCACCCACATGGTCGCTAACAACTGTCCGTAACTCCAGTTCCAGGGGATCCGACAGCCTCTTCTGTTTTCCGAGAGCATTGCATGACATGGGTGCGCTTACCTACATGCAGGCAATACACACATACACATGAAATAATAAATAAATATGAAAAAATAAATAAAAAGACCAAAAAAAATCACCTGCCTTTCCATTCAGTGAGGGTCCAAGGAGGGCTGGGGACATCAAGGATGGCTCATTCTTTCTTTTCTATTTTTAGTGTTTTTAAAGATTTATTATATCAGCCAAATACCTGCACCCATGTAAAAGCTGGCCACTGCTGTGAGTGTCTAACACCCCAGCACTGGGAATAGGCAACCAGCAGATCCCTGGAGGTCTCTAGCCAGCCAGCCCAGGTGACTCAATGAGCTAGCTCCAGGTTTGTAAGAGAGCCTGTCTCAAAAAATAAGATGGAGGAGCTGAAGAGATGGCTCAGTGCTTAAGAAGGCTTATTGATCTACCAGGAGATGGCAGTTTGGACATCAGCATCCATAGCAGGTAACTCACAAACCCCTGGAACTCCAGCTCCAAGAGATCAGATGCCCCTTATGGCCTCTGTGAACACACATGCACAAACACACACACACACACACACACACACACACACAAATATTTTATTTATTTATTTTTATTTTATGTGTATGCGTGTATTGCCTACATGTAGGTAAGTGCACCCATGTCATGCAATGCCCATGGAGGACAGAAGAGGCTATAGGATCCCCTGAAATTGGAGCTACGGACAATTGTTAGCTTGAGCCCAGTTCTTCTGCAAGAACAGCCAGTGTTCTTAACCACTGAGCCATCTTTCCAGCCCCTAAAATAAATATTTCTAAAAATAAAATATTGGGGCTGTGGAGATGGTTCCATGGTTGGGAGAAGGCACTACTCTTGCAGAGGACCCTATTTCAACTCCCGGCACCCACGCCGGGTGGCTCACAGCTACCTGTAACTCCAGCTCCAGGGGATTTGATGCCCTGTTTTGGCCCCTATGGGTACCTGCACACTAGTGCCATATATTCACACAGACATATGCACATACACATGAATAAAAATAAAACTTTAAAAATACATTTAGGACTGGCGAGATGGCTCAGCAGTTAAGAGCGCTTATGGCTTTTCCAGAGGACCAAAGCCCGATTGCCAGCACCTACATGAGGCAGCTCACAACCACCTGTAACTCCAGATCCAGGGAATCCAACACCCTCTTCTGCCTTCCACAGACATCTTGACACATGGTATAATATACATACACAAAAATAAAAAATTAAAAAATATGTTTTTAAAAGTTAAGAGGCATGGGGCTGGAGAGATGGTTAAGAGCACTGGCTGCTCTTGCAGAGGACCCGGGTTCAATTCCCAGCACCCACATGGTGGCTACCAACCATCCGTAACTCCAGTTCCAGGGGATCCGATGCCCTCTTCTGACCTCCATGGCACTGCACAACATGGGTGCACTCACACACAAGCAAGCAATACACTCATACATATAAAATAAAGGTAATAATAAAATATTTTCTAAAATTTAGGTGGCTGGAGCAATATATTATCAGTTAACTGCACTTGTTGCTCTTCCAGAGGACCCAGGTTCGGTTCCTAGCACCCACAAGGCTGCTAACCATCCATAAATCCCCTTCCAGGGGCTTCAATGCCCTTTTCTCACCTCATCAGCACAGCATGCATGTGTTGTACAGACATACATGAAAGCAAAACACTCATACACATAAAGGTAAAATTTTTTAATTTAAAAATAAAATAGGAGCCAGGCATGGTGGCACACTCCTTTAATCCCAGCACTTGGGAGACAGAGGCAGACAGATCTCTGTAAGTTCAAGGCCAGCCTGGTCTATGTAGTGAGTTCCAGGTCAGCTGGGGCTATAGGGAGACCCTGTCTAAAAAGACGAAAAAAAAAACCCAAAAAAACCCAAACAAACAAAAATAAAATAAAATAAAAATATCCAGGCGTGGTGGCACATGCCTTTAATCTCAGCACTCAAGATGCAGAGGCAGGCAGATCTCTGAGAGTCCTAGGCCAGCCTGGGCTACAGAGAGTGAGACCTTGTGTAAAAATAAATAGATAAAATGGAGAGTGATTGACAAAGAGAACTCCACACATGTGCACACACACCTGAACATATCCATGCATACACTCACATGTACACAACATGTACACACACAAAGTGTGTAAATAACACGCTTCACATGATATCTGGCACACAGAATACCCTCAAAATGAAATAGCAGAGATGAAGGTGATGATGATGATGACAATAAATACTTCTGTTTGTCAAGTACTCTGCATGAACTCTTAGCACAGGTATAATGTTCTGCTTTCCAGAAGGGAAAATCGAGGTCAGAGCAGTGAAAAGAGGTCCCACAGCTGGTCTGGCAGGGCGTGTGTGTGTGTGTGTGTGTGTGTGTGTGTGTGTGTGTGTGTGTGGTGAACTGAGGACAGGCTATCCCAGGCAGCCTCTTGTACCTGTATTAAAAGGAGAAAGGGAAGGTTGCCAGCCCGAGGGTAGCTGGCCCCTTGCCTGTGGGTGCTGCTCCCCTTCCTGTAGGCTCATGACCCCCCTTCCAGACTCCATAGGCAGTGCTTGGGTGATACCATCTCCCTGTTTCTGCAGGGGCGGAAGTATGTGAGGTCACTCCTCCCTGCCCCTAGCTGTAGGACTGTCCCTTCTCCTAGTATCACTGTCTGATCTCCACAGGGCCTCTAGATGAGCAAAGGATTTGAAAAGCGCTGGCATTTTCCCCTTCTCTGGCATCCGTCACCCCCTCAGGTCCCCACACTGGTGCTGGAATATAAGTAGCCCACGTGTGGAAAGGGCAGAAACTGAGGCTCAGAGCGCAGGGAAGGGGCTCACTCACGATCAGATAGCTAGGCTACGACTGAGCCTGGCTCAAAGCCCAGAGCTCCGGACTTCAGGATTCTTCCCTGCCCTGTGCACTCCACCTGGTCTTAGTGCCAGATCACACTGGCCAGTGCCCTATTTCCAGACGGCTTGGCCTGGGGCAGAGATTTCTCTTGTGTTCAGCAGGAGGGCCACTGACTTCCTCCTTTCTCAGTTCTGGTTTTTGTTTTGTCTGTTTGTGTGAGTACCTCCTGAGTACTGGGATTGCAGGCCTATATCATCATGCCTCACTGTTTTTTGTCTCCTGGACAATGAGGATCTGAAGAAAACAGTGATGGGTCAGGGAGGGAAACTGAGGCCTTAAGTCTAGGGACAGAGATTAAACTGTGCTTCACAGCTGGTAAGATCCCAGATAAATGTCTGGGACTCAGTATTTCCATCTGTGGGGTGCAGTCCACCACCCTTCCCCCACCTGGATGCTGTCAGATCAGAGGACTCAGGGGACAGGAGAAGTTTGAGTCCCAAAATGGTTGGACCTGGAGAAAGAAGAAATAGCAGTGGTGGGTGTGGTTTGCCAGGAGCTTGGTTCTAGGTGCTTCCAGCCTCACAGCTGGTGGGAACGTGGGACAGCATCCCCTGGTCATCAGACCCTGTAGCCTCTAAGAGATCTCTCGGAGATCTGCTGCTGAGCCAGGTCGGGGACAGGATGGGATATGTGGAAGTCTCCCCCTGCACAGCAGGGAAGTCAGAGAGTGCCCAGGATGATGCAAAAGATTGGAGAGACTGAGGGGCAAGGTGGGGGACAGAGAGAAGCAGAGATGGGGAGAGAAGAAAAAGAGGAGAGAGAGGAGAAGGAAAGGACCACACACACACACACACACACACACACACACACACACACACACAGACACTGGGCCATAGCTTGGGTAGACAGTAATACTCTGGAGAGACACAGAGATGAAGAGAAAGAGAAAAAAGACAGTGATGGAGACCCAATGCAGAGGCCAAGCTCAACAGAGGGAAGGTGGACAACCTGTACTCACTGAACTTTTTGCTGGTCTTCTTCGGCCCCTCCGTCATCTTGGAGAGTTGTGCAGAGCCTCTGGCTGACTGGCATGTGGCTGTTCCAAGCTCTGGACATCAAGGTTGCAGGGCCTCCCCCACAACCCCTTCCCCTTTCTCTTGCCCTCTCACTCACTTCCTCTGTGTATTTTTAAAAAGCGAAACTCCCACAGCCCCACCCTCCCCACAGGAGGCGGGGGCTGGGGCCTCCCCAACCCAGCCCCTGAGGGCCTCCTCAGCCAGCAGCAGGGGCAGGGGACACACCACAAGCCCATGGGACCTGGAAGGTCTGAGGAACAAACCACAAGCTCTGGGAACGGAGCCCACTAGGCCGGGGGCCACTGGAGACCTACCAACATCTGTCAGGGGGCTTGGCTACAGGATGGAAGGCAAGATGCAGGCCTATGCATAGGGCAGTTTATTCTAAACCTTGGTACCCAGGAGACAGACAGCCAGTAACAGAGAAGAGAATGCTGGGAGTAGGCCTGTGGTCTTGGGCTACCCAGGTCCATATTCAGCTCTTGTCTGACCACTTTGTCACTCTCCGATCATAGGCAGGACTTACCTGCCTGAGCCTGTTTCCTCTCAATGAGGCAGGGAGTTCCCACTTCACAGGGACCAGGACACTGGCCAGAGCTGGGCACAGAGTCAGTGTCTGCTCAGATGTGATTGCTCCTGCCCAAGCTAGACACGTGAGGACAGGTCTTCCACACCCTTTGGACAGAGATAGGGAAACTGAGACACAGGCAAAGGAAAGACACAGGTCACAGTGAGGTTTGGTAGCACAGTCTGGGTTACAACTTGACCTTCTAGTTCCCTTAATTCGAAGTCTGGTGCTCTCCAAGCACACGTGTGCGTGTGCGTGCGTGCGTGCGTGCGTGCGTGCGTGTGTGTGTGTGTACACGCACACATGCTTATATAGGCAGACCAGACATGGGCAAATGCAACCTCCACGTACAAACTATCTTGGACACCAGTAAAGGGTGTTAGCACATGCTGGGACTAGAGTGCCACAAGGTCAAACCTAGCTCTGAGTGACACTACCTCCGCAGCCTCAGTCACCAAATCTGTATAGTGGGACAGTGCAAAGGTATGCAGCTATCCTGCAGAGATTTGGCTTTCTCCTCCCCTCCCCAAGTACTGAGGCTGGAACTCTGAGCCTCTCACATATCATCTAAGTGCTCAACCATTAAACCACATTTCCCAACCCACTATTGACATTGTTTTGTTGTTTTGAGACAAGGGTCTCATGTGGCCCAGGCTGACCTCAAATTTGAGTCTGTGTTTCAGCCTCCAAGTGGTGGGATCATGTGTGTGTCACCATCCCACCTGGATCCAGGTTTGGTCCCTAAGATGGCAATCAGGATTATAAGAGATGGGGCCTTCCTTGCATCCTCCATAAAAAGTCATAGCCCCGAAGTCAAATCATGTGGAGCCCGAAGCTGCTGGTCCAACTACAGAGCCCCAGGAGCTGATCTCCAGGCCTGTAGCTCCCCAGCTCCCTGGCAGCTGGAGGATAGTCGGGTCTGGGAGAGGACAAAATGATCCTTCTGATGGGGTGAAGAAAACCCCAAGACCCTGAGAGAGAAAGGAACCCAGGCTGCAAGGCTAGGGCAGCAGGGTGCTGCTCATATGCACCTAGATGAATCAGTGTTCAACAGCCTAGGAGGAAGTTTCTAGACCATGGACTTTGGGGAAAGAAGACTGCCATCAGTCTTGCTACTGAGCACTGTGAATGAGCTAGGCCTGAGTTGGATGCCTTTATACATCATCCTTTGATTCCCCGTAACAGACCTGTCAGATACATATTGGCACTGCCCCCACTGCACAGATGAAGAAACTGAGGCTAAAAAGAAACAAAGGGGTTTGGTAGAGTAGTTGCCTAGCATACAGAAAGCTCTGGGTTCCAGGTCCAGCACTGTATGAGCCAGGTATGGTATTGCATACCAGTAATCCTAGCGCACAGGAGGTAGAGGCAGAAGGATCAGAGATTCATGGCCAGTTTCAGTAATGCAGTGAGCTTGAGGCTAGCCTGGGCTACAAGAAATTCTGTCAGGCAGATCTCTAGGGGTTTGAGACTAGCCTGGTCTATATAGCTAGATCCAGGCTAGCCAGGGCTATACAGTAAAACCTTGTCTGTAAATAAGTACATAAAAATATTTTTTTAGCAGGGCATGGTGGCACACACCTTTAATCCCAGCACTCAGGAGGCAGAGGCAGGTGGATCTCTGTGAGTTCAAGGTCAGACTGGTCTATATAGTGAGTTCCAGGACAGCTGGGGCTACAGGGAAACCCTGTCTCAAAAAGACCAAAAAAAAAATTTTTTTTTTTTTGAAAGGGAGTACCAGAGACCAGATAGGTGAAGTACCAGGTCCAGAGTTCAGGTTGTCAAATGACATGGAGAGGCCTATAGCAAGGTAAGAGCTGGGGCTCTTCCTAGTGGAAGGCAGACAGTAGTCCCAACTTCCCTCCTGGGAGACAGTTCCAATGAGACATGGCTATGGTATCAGTGAGACAGATAAGCTCTCAAATTGCTGTCTTTGCTACTCTGGGCCTCAGTTCCCTTACATATGACATGGGATGTGACATATGACATATGACATATGACATATGACAGGCTGGGCTTCCTGGGAGAAGTCTCTGGCCAGCTCATTGTAGCCCTCAGCAAGCCCTGGCTCTGAGGCTAAAGGGTGGGCACATGGGCAAGGAGCACACTAGGCTGAGCCAGGCAAATTGTGGTGGGTAGGTGGGTGCATGGTGTGAGACCCGGGAGTCCAGGCCCTGGAGAGTCTGTGTTGCTATGGCACAGATGCCTTTTCTGCCCTAGAGCCAGGCCTGCCGTTGGCCCAGGCGCCAGGACAGTTGCTGGTATCCCTGGGAGAATGAATGGGGCTCAGTGTGGTGGTGTGGCTGGGCTCAGAGATCCTTTTGTGCTGCCTCGAGTGGCTGTTGGGAGTGTTGTTGGGGAAACCTGCTGGCGGGTGTCTGTCCCACAGACCCTCCACGCCTGTGGTGGAGGCCCACCCAGCCAGTCCACTGCTGCAACCCTGACCACCTACCAAGTGCTTTCCCTTCTCCAGAACGAGGGCTTCTGCCTAGGCTGGGCCTGCACTGGCATGGCACACTTCCCTCCGCTTGTTTCCTTCAAGCCCCTCCAGTGTAAGCCGGAGCTAAGAAATGTTGCTTCCTGGAAGAGGAATGGGTCTTACTGGTCCACACTGGCTCCTGCTCCAGGACTGTACTGCAGATGCTCAGCTGACGCTTTTCCCTGGGTGACTGACTGCCCAACATTAGGGGTAGTGTAGCAGAGACCTAACTTTGAATCCCAACTCCACAGCTTCTTGGTAGGGTGGCCCTAGTGAGGCTACTGTCTCTTCTGTCACCTGGACCAGTCATCCAGCCTCCTAGGAGGGATACTGCGGAGTTGAAGGGGGTGATGCATACCAACACAAGGCTGGGCAGAAGCAGTGGAGTTGGTGGGAGCAGAATTTCCATGGCTCAGTAGGGCCCTGGGGATCACACTGCCATTCTCAGGTCTGTGGCCCCCAACTAGTAAATGCACCCATAGCTTATAGCTCTCATCCATGAGTCTACCTTCCTCCATAGGCTTTTACCTGATCCATGCTCGGCAGCGGGTGGGGGGCCTGGACATGGACCAAATCCAGGAGGGTCCAAAGCTGGAGATCAGCCTCACTCCAGAGGTAAGAGGCAGGCATATTACCAAGCCTGGTGGCAGAGGATTGTGGTAGCTACTTAGGCGACTGAAGCAGGAAGGTCTAAGGTTTGAGACCAGCCTGGTCTACATAGCAAGTTCTAGGCCAGCTGGGGCTACAGGGAGACCTGGTCTCAAAAAACAAATCAGGGCTGGAGAAATGGGTCAGCAGGTAAGAGCACTGGCCGCTCTTGCAGAGGACTTAAGTTCGATTCCCAGCACTCACATGGGAATCTCCCTAACTCCAGGTCCTGGGGATCCGACAACCTTGTCTGACCTCTGGGACCACTGCATGATATGGGTGCACCTATATGCAGGCAAAACACTCATACACATAAAATAAAAATAAAAAAATAAAAACCCCAGCTGGGTGTGGTGGTGCACACACACCTTTAATCCTAGCACTCCGGAGGCAGAGGCAGGCGGAGGCTGGCAGATCTCTGTGAGTTCAAGGCCACCCTGGTCTACACAGTGAGTTCCAGCACGGCTGGGGCTACAGGGAGACCCTGTCCCAAAAGGAACACTGAAGATCAATCAAGTTGGAAATATCATAAATTATGCCCAGGTAACCTATAGGAAGGAAAAAAAAAAAAAGAGTAACAGAGCAATGAGAGCCAGGACACATGGAAGCACAACGGATAGTAAAAGACTCAGCCAAATGTTAGACAGCAATAATTACCTCGCACACACACCTTTAATCCCAGCACTCCGGAGGCAGAGGCAGGCGGAGGCTGGCAGATCTCTGTGAGCTCAAGGCCACCCTGGTCTACACAGTGAGTTCCAGGACAGCTGGGGCTACGGGAGACCCTGTCTCAAAAAGACCAAAAAAATAAAATAAAAAACCCCAACAACAAAAGCTGGTACTGTCCTTCTTGCCCTGTGCCTCAGTTTTCCTGTGAGAATTTTTGAGTACTGGGGATTGAATCTAGGGCTTTACTTGTGCTAGGCCAGCCCTTTACTACAGGGCTATGTTCCTAGTCCTTTTTTTTTTTTTAAAGACAAAGTCTCACTAAGTTTTCCAGATTGGCCTTCAATTTTCTCTGTAGCCCAGACAGGCCTTGAACCTTTGACCTTCCTGCTCGTCTCCTGAGTAGCTGGGATCACAGTCCCCTACTACAAGGCCTGGCTTCCTTAAATGTGAAAAGGCACAGGACAAGAGGCTCTCTTGGGGTGTCATCAGCCAGCCAGTCAGCAGGTGTCTACTGAGGATGGGTCACATGCTGGACCTTGACTTGAGATAATCCGCAGAAACCAGGTAACATTCCCCTAAAGTCATGGTTAACAGAGTCAGAAAAGGTGAGAAACAGTTACTTTCTTTTTGCTTCCTTCCTGAGTTTGTCAGTTGTGAAAATCTGAGCCTCCAGACCTGGTCAGCCTTCCCAAGGTTCCTGATCACTCCTGCTTCCCCTAGGGAGGGCTGAGGGCCCAAAGGCTCTGAGGGGAAGTGACTAGATGTCAGAGTTGTTGGGGTTGAGATGACAAGATCACCGGAAACTCTGCTAAGACTTCTACCCACAGGATGTGCCTTAGGGAGGGCTCATGAGAAACAGCATCAGCTGTGGCCTAAATATCTGATAGCAACATCCACCGAAGCCCATGATAGGCCACCTGCCCCCAGTGCTACTGTCACCCACCATGTTCTCCTATCACCACCAAGGCAGATAGGACTGTACCTAGGCTTTGTTTCAGTTTCACCCTGAATGCAGATGGATGGGGGACCTTGACATAGGCAACTGTTTGCAGTATATGCCAAACTGATCAGGTTCAAATACCAGTGTGACCACTGACCAGGTAGCTGTGTGTCCCTGACCGGATCATGTCACCTCTGAGTGTCACCTTATGTTCACAAGGGAGGTAACTGTAGTGCCCCCTTCCTACGACTGACAACTGAAATACTTCCCATACGGGTTAAGTGCAGGGCTTAGCTGTTTATTTCCCTTCAATAAATTATAATTACTGAAATTATTCTCTCCCTCTCGCCCCTGATTTTTTTCCCTCCCTAGTCCATGCTTCAAATAAGTACTGGATCCACGAAGCTGGCCTCAGTTCATTCCATGATATATGGCTTGACAATCTAAAACTCTTGCTGGTTCTAGGGTGCACTTACATGAAGACAAAACACTCACACACATAAAATAAAAATGAATAAAATGTAAAAACAGCAAAACAGCCGGGCATGGTGGTGCACGCCTTTAATCCCAGCACTTGGGAGGCAGAGGCAGGCAGATCTTTGTGTGTTCGAGGCAGCCTGGTCTACATAGTGAGTTCCAGGACAGCTGGGGCTACAGGGACACCCTGACTCAAAAAGACAAAAAGAAAATTTAAATAAGAAGAATATATGCTGCAAGATTGTTTCTTCTTGCCCTGTGCCTCAGTTTCCCCTCCTGGCAGGACTTTTCCCACAACAGGTCATCTTATGGCTACCAGGGTAACCAAAACTATTTCTACCTCTTCCTAGGAAACTTCAAGCCCAAACAATATGGGTAAGACTTGGAAACACTGCTAGGCGTACATGGTGACACATGCCTGGGATGCTGGCACTTAGAAGACTGAGACACGATTGCCCCTGAGTTTGAGGGTCAGCCTGGGTTACACAGTGAGGACCAGGCCATCCAGGACTGTAGAGCACACCCAGTCTCAAACAAGCAAAACATCGGAGGGCTTCCAGCAAGCGATCCATGGGAGTTGGGTGTAAGGAGGGAGCCCAGACCTAAAGGCAGGAGGGCTTGGGAATCTGGCACAGGTGAACGCACTCAGAATTTCAAGACAGTAGCGGGAGATACATGCTGATTGTGCTTTGGAATGATCGGGAGCAGGCTGAGTGGAACAGGTGGACAGGATAGGCTGGGGGTGGCAGGACTAAGGACCGGGGGATGGGCATGAAGGAAGGTCGAGAACGGACTGAGTGAGTGCGGAGAGTGAGAAAAGACAGCTTTCTTGGGGCTGCTCACTGGGCAGAGCCTTAGGAGGAATGCACAGGCTACTGGAGACAGGGAGATGCTGGTGGGGGAGGGATGGCTAGTAGGGTCTTAGGGTGACGGTGGGCGTCGGGCCTCCTAAGGACAGCAGGCCTCCAACGCACTATAAAAACAGGATGCATCACTAGCATCTGCTCGCACTAAGAACTTCGGGAAAATAACCTCCCTTCTGAGTCCGCAGCGCCTTCTGTAAAATGGGTCGGTGATCCTGGTTTACAGGTTTGGTTCCGGATTCAGCAGGCACGTCCAGCTTCTGCAAAACGCACAGGAGTGCTGGATCAATGGTAGGTAATTCTGCGATGTCCGAGCCGGGACAGACCAGCTCGAGCGCAGGAGGGATCCTGGGGTCTCATCCCTGCCTCCCCGGACTACGTAGCCTCCAGGGCTTAGAGGCCTGAACGTGGCTCGCTCGCCGCCTCCAGTGTCGCCGCGCCCCCTGGCGGCCGTCTGTTGCCATGTCAACGGCGGGTGGCGGGGGGACGACGGAGGTGGCGGCGGGGGCAGTTCTGTCTTCCCTGGGCCTAAGGCCGCTCCCCTCCCTCAGCGCCTCCCGCCTTCGCCTCCGGGGGGAGCACTCCAAACCCGAGAGGCAGGGGCACTCCGTGGCCCCTGGCACTCGGGGGTAAACTGAGGCACACGGCGGGGCGCCCACGGCCAGGTGTCGAGCGCGGGCCCCACCTCCGAAGGCAGAGGAGGGGCTCCGGGCAGTGACGCGCCGAGGGCGGCCGCCGGACTTCGAGCCAGCGGGCGGGAGGCGGCGGCGGCGGCGGCAGGTGCGGCCGCGGAGGGTGGGAGGGGAAGGGAGGGGGCG